CGAAAACTTCGGTCACTTAGAGAGCTGAACTTGGATGAAGTGGGGGCTTGATGATGGGCCGTCTTGGCTCAAGCGACGTACAGTTTTGAAACATCTTAACAACCCATGTCGCTGTGTCATCCAAAGAAAGCAGCAGAGAGCAAATATAGATGAATATGCATTATGTTGTCTTGCCCACCTCTTGACTCTTTCCGCGCATTTTGCCGGGGACAAGTGCCATCTGATGAAAAGGCAAATGACTAGTGCCCTCTCCCGATCAAGTCCTCCTAGCCCCGGCAGCAAACCTCTGGTTTGTTGCGCGAACTCTTTGGACAAACGCAGGGTGTAGTACAAAAGCCATGGACTTTTGGAGGGCTTGATCAAGGCAGATGCGGGCTGTCAAATTATATATGTTTCCAGCGGCCTTTGGCCAAAAGCTGGTCAATTTACATACCCTGGGCATAAGCCCCTCTCCTTCCACAGCAACTTAAAAGCTGCGGTGGGAAGTCAAATTATGTTTCCAGCGGCCTTTGGCCAAAAGCTGGTCAAATTTACATGGCCTGGGCATAAGCACCTCTCCTTCCACAGCGACTTAATGCCTGCGATAAAAAGTCCACGAATTTCATCGAATTTCTCATCAGGCCTGCGTCGATGACTCAGGGCTTGCAGGCAGGCAATCCCGCTTTTCTGACTAAAGAGAACCGTTTCACCGGCAAGCACGTTTGTTGTGCAGCTTTAACGTCATGCGTGAGAAAGGATGGCCGACTGGCCTTCTTCTGCTCTCGGCAACACTACACCTCTCCGGTACAGTTGAAACCTTGCGCTTGGCCGGAAAAGGCCACAAATAGCCGCTATCGTAACCTGACCCAACCGAGACCATTGCCACTTCCACAATGAAACAACGCTGGGGCTCTTTAGGCAGCAAAAGCCTGGCCGGGAATCGCAACACGCCATGGCCAAGGGAAAAGGAGAGTGCCAACAGCGCCCCCCCAATACGACCCCAACACAGCCAACACATGGCAACACGCAACCACCCCAGCAACCGCAGCAGCCACAACAACAATAACTGTAACCAGCAGCGGCAGCGGCAGCAAGCAGAGCAGAAGCAGCAGCAGGAGTAGCTAGCAAGCAGCAGCACTAGCTACCAAGCAGCAGGAGCAGCAGCAGCAGCAGCAGGAGCAGCTACTAAGCAGCAGCTACCAAGCAGCAGCAGCAGCAGCAGCAGCAGCAACAGCTACCAAGCAACAACTACCAAGCAACAGCTACCAAGCAACAGCAGCAGCAGCAGCAGCTACCAAGCAGCAGCAGCAGCTACCAAGCAGCAGCAGCAGCATCAGCAGCAGCCACCAAGCAGCAGCTACCAAGCAGCAGCAGCAGCAGCTACCAAGCAGAAGCAGCATCAACAGCAGCTACCAAGCAGCAGCAGCAGCAGCAGCAGGAGCAGCTACCAAGCAGCAGCTACTAAGCAGCAGCAGCAACAGCAGCGGCTACCAAGCGGCAGCAGCAGCAGCAGCAGGGAAAGAGTGAGCTTTCCTTAGAGTGTTTCGCGCCCCAACATTTGGTCTCGAACAATAGCACATATAGGTGCTGCCTGAGTAATTGTAGAAGGGCGAGGTGGAAAGACAGATATCGATGCAGCCAGCAGCGGTGTGCATGATTGACATCTAGGGGTTGCATGCGAACATGTGTCAGCGACCGAAGACTCCGTCGCAACGCTTGTGCATGCTCCCTGTCGCTCGAACATGGAACGCGGACTACCATGAGTGAAGCAAACAGCCCGTTCAAACATCTGACTGGGTTCTGTCATTCATGTGTGTAGTAAGTATCATCTTTTGATCTGCATGGATAGCGGATAGTGCATTCTGATTTGTACTCTTGGGGGTTGTGGGGTGGGTACATTACAAGCTTCTTATAATAAGGATATAATGAAATTAGCATCGTTTCACGACTCAGAGGGAATGCAACTACTCTCGATTCTAACGAATAGGCTTTCTTGAGCACCAACAGCACCCAACAACCCCAAACAGCAACAGCAGCAAAACGGAGCAGACAACAAGCAGCAGGCAGCCAGCATCCAGCAGCAGCAAGCATGCAAGCAGCAACCAGCAAGCAGCCAAGAGCATCCAGCAGCACCAAGCATGCAAGCAGCAGCAACCAGCAAGCAGCCAAGAGCCAGGCGCAGATGAGACGCCAGCAGCAGCAGCAGCAGGTACCAAGGAGGAGAAGGGTGGAGTTGAACCCCGCGGGGGGGGGTGTCTAGTCCTGATATATCAGGTAACAGCACTCAGGTCCTGGGCTCCCACCCTCCTTGCTAAAGCAAGACAAACTCCAGCTAGCTACAGCTAGCTTTCGTGACATGGCAACACACAACCACCCCAGCAACCGCAGCAGCAGCAGCAGCAGCAACAGCCACAACAACAATAACTGTAACCAGCAGCGGCAGCGGCAGCAAGCAGAAGCCACCAAGCAGCAGCAGAAGCAGCAGCAGTAGCTAGCAAGCAGCAGCACCAGCTACCAAGCAGCAGCAGCAGCAGCAGCAGCAGCAGCAGCAGGAGCAGCTATACCAAGCAGCAGCAGCAGCTGCTAAGCAGCAGCAGTAGCAGCTACCAAGCAGCAGCAGCAACAGCTACCAAGCAACAGCAGCAGCAGCTACCAAGCAGCAGCAGCTACCAAGCAACAGCAGCATCAGCTACCAAGCAGCAGCAGCAGCAGCTACCAAGCAGCAGCCACCAAGCAGCAGCAGCATCAGCAGCAGCTACCAAGCAGCAGCAGCAGCAGCTACCAAGCAGCAGCAGCAGCATCAACAGCAGCTACCAAGCAGCAGCAGCAGCAGCAGCAGCTACCAAGCAGCAGCAGCAGCTACCAAGCAGCAGCAGAAGCAGCAGCAGCTACTAAGCAGCAGAAGCAGCAGCAGCAGCTACCAAGCAGCAGCAGCAGCTACCAAGCAGCACCACCAGCTACCAAGCAGCAGCAGCAGCAGGGAAAGAGTGCATTCTGATTTGTACTCTTGGGGGTTGTGGGGTGGGTACATGCAAGTACAAGCTTCTTAAGGATATAATGAAATTGGCATCGTTTCACGACTCAGAGGGAATGCAACTACTCTCGATTCTAACGAATAGGCTTTCTTCAGCACCAACAGCAGCCAACAACCCCAAATAGAAACAGCAGCAAAACGGAGCAGACAACAAGCAGCAGGCAGCCAGCATCCAGCAGCAGCAAGCATGCAAGCAGCAAGCAGCAGCAACCAGCAAGCAGCCAAGAGCATCCAGCAGCACCAAGCATGCAAGCAGCAAGCAGCAGCAACCAGCAAGCAGCCAAGAGCCAGGCGCAGATGAGATGCCAGCAGCAGCAGCAGCAGCGACCAAGCAGCAGCAGCAGCAGGTACCGAGGAGGAGAAGGGTGGAGTTGAACCCCGCGAGGGGGGGGGTATAGTATAGTCCTGATATATCAGGTAACAGCACTCAGGTCCTGGGCTTCCACCCTCCTTGCTAAAGCAAGACAAACTCCAGCTAGCTTTCGTGATAAACCAAAACCAACTCCTGCAGCACCACCGTATAACGTTCTGCAGTTCCTCGTGAACCTTGTTGTACTAACAGCCTTCCAACCTTCTTTCTTTTTTTCTCAGCCTTGCGTCCTTCCTCGGACTCTCTTCTCTTCATTTCCCTCCTGGGCATCCTTCTCAAAGCGCCGGCTTGGCCCATCCGCTGGGTTCAGCCGAGATGTGATGCAAGCCCACAACGGAAAAAGGGTTCGGTGTCACACACAACCCAGACTCTCCTGGATTGTTTTTTCAATAGATCTATTGAAAAACCACACATTTTCAATAGCGATTGAACATGATAGTGCTCAAGTCATTTTCAATAGAAACTGGGCTTAAGGATGCAATCATTCGATTGAAAAAGTACATTTTTTCTATTGAACAATGTACACTTAAAACCCTTAAAATCGATTGATTTTAAAGGGTATGTCTATTCAAAAAACAACAAAATTCGATTGAATTTCAAAGTGTCCTGTTTTAATGCAAATATATATATATATATGGGTGTGTGTTCTATACTTTATATACATATGGCTGGATAGCCACATTCTGTCTCAATGAATTATGGCTGGACAGCAAAATTTGAGTTTGCGCCTTAAGTGTGATGGCTGGATAGCCATTTCTGATGGCTGGATAGCCACTTCTCATGGCTGGAAAGCCATTGTTGCTGAGCAATTTGTTAGCATAGGTTGATGTTTGGCTCAACAAAAATGGCAAGAGGAGGCCCCAGAAGACAGCCTGTTCCAGATGTGGACCCTTACCACCTCCAGGAGGTTTTGACCAAGCATGTGAGATGCGAAGGTGTTGATTCTTGCTTCAGCTTTGGCCCTCACTTGAAAATGGCCAGCCCAGAAGCAGTGAATGGAAGTGCCCTGGTGTCTTGCAAAGACTTCATGAAGGTGATGCTGGGCCTGGAAACAAACCTCTTCTTCAAATTCTCACAACTGAGGGATGCTTTCTCCATGGTTTTGAAGAACTACCCTGGCATAGCTCAAAGGTGGCCTGAAGAAAAGAGGTCGACTTTGGCCAATGACTTGGCCTCCACTGTGTTGACTTTGGCTGCACACACCAGAAGGCTGAAGGATAGCATAAAGTTCAAAGAAGCCATGTCGAAATGCTCACAGCTCAAAGCCTGTACTTTGCAGGAGCTGAGGTCCTGGGTGCTGCAAGACCCAAAAGAAGAGGTGGGTGGCAAAGCAATGGAGAAGGATGAGAGCTCAGGAGATGATGCTCTTTGCTTCAAGTTTGTTCTGCATCATGGCTGGATAGCCATTCTGCATCATGGCTGGATAGCCATTTCATACCTGTGCATGCATGTGAGGTAAGCTCTGCATTTCCTGAACTTCCCTGCACACCTCAGACAGCCAACATACCCAAGAAGAAGAGATCAGCTGTGGAGGAAGCAGCAGCCACTTGGTGTGGTATAATTTGTTGACACATGGTACAACACAGTAGATTGGGATTGCATGGCATGTGAGGAATTGGAGTCACCTTTGCCTACTCGCAAGCAGAAGCTGAGGGAGCATGTGGCTGAGATGTTTCCAACCATTTGCAAAAGGCCTGCTATGAAGCCTCCTGCCAAGCCTATGAAATCTGCTGCCAAGCCTGTGATGAAAGCGCTTGCCAAGAAGCCTGCCATGAAGGGTGGGGCAGCTTACACCTTGATGTACTACAAGGCAGGGCCAGCCTATGCAGTGAGGGTGAGAGGGGGCAGGCAGTTGTTTCAACTTCTCTGCAAGAAGATAGGCAAGGCAGCTGCCCTATGGAGTTGCTAGCGCGGCTAATAATGACTTCTTTTGGTGTTGCTCAGGGGCCAGGTGTGGGAAGAGCTCTGAATTACGTGTAGTGCAACTTTCGCATTCACAAACTGAGACAGGGGCGCGTTGGGTTGTTTCTCATGATTCTACTTGTTGTGGGTGAAACCTGCTGCTGCTGCCCTTTTCCTAAGTGGCCAAGGTGGGAAGGCTGATGGATATTCATCCCACACCCTTCGGAGTCTCCAAGGCCCCTGGCGATAGCGCGTCTGGTCCTGGAGTTCGACATCTGCTCCAGCTTCGATGAGGCGTTGCACCTGCGCTGCATCGCCCTGCTCGGCCGCTCGGTGCAGGGCTGAACGACCTGGGACACGGGCTGGGCACGACTTAAGACCTCTTGAGCATCGTCGAGCCCTTCCGATCCGACCGGTGAGACTTGGAACTTCTGGTGATGCCAAAGTTGCTTGATTGCAAGAGCCTTTTCTGTTGAGAAAGGCGACACAGCAATTCTCAAGACAGAAATCCGCGCAAACATCTGTTGCCAAGTTTTTGAATCAAGTCTTGAGTCTTCCTGGTGAGGAGAGGCGACGCCACATGGCCACACAAAATCCCAATTCTCGGGCCCTGCACGTGCTGCCCGACAGCGGCGAAGCTCGGCGCCCTGTGGACTCGGTCTAAGCTTCTGGCCTTCCTCATCCAGATCCGAGCCTCGGGGCGCAAGGCTGGAGGGCGGATGTTCCCAATCAGGACTTTGGGCAAGAGCTTTACTGTTGGATGATGGAAGAACTCCGGTTGATACTTCCCTGAAACGAAAATCAGAAAACATAAGGTTGGTGATGATACTCGATTCGCATCTCAGTGTGGTATACGGAGGGAGACCTCCTGCCTGATGATCCCATTGGGCCAATGAATCCTAGGCGGGGCTCCAATGCCTTCACACTAGTAAGGGGCACCCAACATCTGAGACTTGTTTGCATGTTGTGCGGGGGAACCATCAGTGATCATGCAGGGGATGGAAGATATAGCCTCACTCTGGCAGAGCCTTATGTAGTATGAATGCAAGAAAGTCAAAAAATCAGTATGCCGAGCTTGGCCTTTCCCTACCCTGGGCCCTGGCTGTTGGAACCCTTGAGAAAGTTAAACATGGACAAATCCGTGCTGCAGAACCCCATGCAATACCCAGGCCAGTTCCATTCTGCATCAGTTTGCAGAAGCTGGGATGCTGAGTCGAAGCTGCAAGAACTGCTACCCGTTCATACAGATGTTCCGGCAGGCTCAACAAGGCGTTTTTAAAGCTGTCTTCTGCCATAAGGCTACCAGAACTGCCAGCCTTCATCATTCTTAGGCTACCACACAGGCTGACATGGCACACGAAGAATCTGAGGGCTCAACCTGTGTCTCCAGCTGCAGCAACCTGTAGATGGCAAGGGGTAGCTCTGTTGTTTGAGGTCACGCACCGTATATGGCAAAAAAACAACTAAAAATGCCAAGTCTTCAAAGCACTTGTCAACCGAAACAGCGAGATAACGAGAAGAATTGGGAATCACTAACGCCGTATACTAAGCCGTCCTAAGCGTCCCGTTCCGTTCACTGATCACAGACGCCACTCCACAGCTGCGAAAGGCCATATAAACAGTACACCGGAGGCCTCGGGGCTGGGATGCTCCATCTCGGGTCGCGGCGGCACGGGGAGCGCCACAGCGTCGCATCCGGGTGAACCCGGCTGGAGTCCGAGAGCTCAGGAGGGTGGAGATACAATTGAACAAGTGGAAAGTTTGATGAGATGTGAAACATAGTCTTTGCAACCACTTTTGCATGTTCGCTCTTCTCTTTCTTTCGGTAGGTTTTGTGGCTGGGGTCGGCCCTTGCGTTATGGGTGGAATCTTTGATTCCTTGACGTTTGTGGCCACTGTGGGCTCTCCCAGGTCTTTTGCTTCTTTTGACTCGTGATCCTGTGTGTTCCGAGTCGGGAGCCTCAATGTAGGCTGCATGGATGGTGGAACAAGTGGTAAAGTTCTATAGCCGAAGCCCGAAGCCAAGGATCCACTGCTTCGAATCGACCAATATCGTCCATATCTACCACGACGTTTTCCGCCTCTTGGCGCCAGCAACTCGTCACAGGATCCAAGGAGAGAATTCGAGGAAGGCCAACAGCTGGGCAATGCTCGGGCGTCTTTTTTACCATTCGGGCATCTTCACTTTATGGCTGTCACTTGGTGCACAGCCTGTGAAACGCAGCGGAGCCCAACAAATCTTTGGCCGTTCAAACGGCTTTGCCTCCAGCATCGTGGGACCGCCTCAGCTTATAATACAGTCAACCTCAAGAAGCTTCAGCCATCTTCATTTCAGCTTCAGCCACCCGGCTCCTTCCCAAAAACGGATTTCTCAACAAACATGAAGTGACGCGAAGTCTTGTCGCCATGCCTCCAAAAAAGAATCGGAGTTGTTACAGGCTGAAAGACGGGTACAGTAGGCTGAAAGACAGGTCACCTGACAAAACCAAAGAACAATATATATATATATAGAACAAAGTTCATCAGCAAATAGCAACACAATTTCAACATTTGGAGAATCTCCTGTTGCTCAATATCCTGTATGTTGCAAGTATGTAAACACAAAAACATCTTCACGACTGGTGACAAACCCCCGTCATTCTTCGATTTCAACGGCTCATCCGGTTCCGTCCCTGGTCCTGAAGGTCGGCGTCGGCCTGACGGATCTGACGGCCTGCGCAGGGGGCTCAGCTCTACTCATGGTGCAGGTGCCTGAAGGTCGGTCGAGAGAATCCCATATGCCCAATTTCTTGTCATCAAACAATCTGAAGAAGGGGAAACACCATGAAAAACATGTGCTGGATGCCTCAGGCGTAAGAGTTTGGCCAAAGGAGGTCGAAGAAGCTGCGAACACCTGACACCATTTCACTCGGAGTACTGCGACAAACATTCTCGTAGGACAAAACAACAACTCCTTCAAATTCAAACACAAAAAAAACATCACACCATAATTCTCGTTTCACAACCAGTTTGGTCTGTTCCTCTGCATAATATGTAGAGTCCATAATCCATGCTACGCGCTGCTTCTCTTCAAGAAACCAAGGCACTGATGTACTCTGCCGGCTTCCAGTCCTCCGAATCTTCCGTGAACTGAAGAGCCAAAATACAAAATTAAAACATTAAAACCATTCTAGAGTGAACGATCTTTGACCTCTGAACCGATTTTCTTCAGTGTTCGGAGAGGTGTTCTGAACTCCAGGTGCCAACATGCGACCCCAAGCCGGGGAAAAGTGCCAAGTCCCGACCGCTGCCAACACCTCACTCTCTTATCACTCTGCCAACCTCACTCTCCTCTCCTTGAGCAAGGTCTGTGCACCTTCCAGTCGACATCCGATGGCCGTCAAAATGCCGATCCATCCTGAACGCGGCATAGCACCGGCTGATCCAAAGAACGGAAGAAAATGGACTAGGGATCATGGACACCCGTACACCCATCATCCACCGGACGACAAAAAACAGTCTGTGTTGCTCAGCTGAGTTGGTAAAGTTTCACCCACTTCCTGTGAAACTTCTTCAAGCAGGTCACACAAACATCATGCCATAGATACACACCCCGGATGTTACCAGACCTGACCCCTCCCATCCGGGTGAAGGATCAAAAACATTTGATATAGGGATCAAACAAATTGTTTTAGGAGATCGCAAAATAGATAAATAAATAAATATATATATATATACATGCGATCAACAAAACATACCGCTTGCAGTGTCAGGCGCAATGCTTTGTGGACCTAGCAGTGCAGATTTCGTGGGTGTAGCAGGTTGTCAAGGTGAAAGTGCAGAATTTGTTGGTAAACGCAGTGCTTTGCGCACGTCTAAGTGCAGATTTCGTGGCATGTGCAGCACTTTGTGAACCTTGAATTGCAGATTTCATGGCAAAGGCAGCATTTTGGGAATGATGCAGTGTAGATTTTGTGGGATTCGCTTATGGCTTCGTTTCTTTAGAGTTTCTTTGGGTTTGGTTTGGAGCTTTCTTGGGTGATTAAAGAAGCGGGGTTGAGTTCGGGGGAGGGCGCAGCGCCTCCCCCCGCAATGCAAACAAAGTATCGACAGCATGTTTCAAAGCAGCAGCGGCAGCAGAAGGATAAAGCGATGTAGCAGGAGAGCGAGACAGAAAAAAATAAACAAAGCAGAGAAGCAGCGAGGAAATGTCTCATCTGCACACACAAGCCTTTCGCAAGACTCATCTACGCACACAGGCTTTTGGGTGGCCCTTTTGAGCTTCCTGGGTAACACACACGCTGCGTATTGCAATGTCTCCTTCCTGCTCTAAATTTTACCATCAGGTGGCCCACAAAAGGAATGCTACGTTGCAATGGCTTCTGTCTACTCTACATTTTACTCTCGTGTGGCCCACAAAAGGAATGCTACGTTGTAACGGCTCCTTCCCACTCTAAATTTACACCCGCGTCGCCCAAAAAGGGATGCTACGTTGTAACGGCTGCTCCCTACTCTAAATTAAAGCCCTCGTGTGGCCCACAAAAGGGATGCTGCCTCGGACTGGCATCTTCCTACTCTAAATTTTACCCTTGAGTTGCCAACAAAAGGGATGCTGCGTTGCAATGGCTTCTTCCTACTCTAAATTGTACCCTCGGGTTGTCCACAAAAGGAATGCTACGTTGCAATGGCTTCTTTCTACTCTAAATTTACCCTCGGGTGGCCCACAAGGGGGGTGCTGCGCTGCAATGGCTCCTTCCCACTCTAAATTTTACCCTCTGGTGGCCCACAAAAGGGATGCTACTAGTACGTTGTAATGGCTCCTTCCTGCTCTAAATTTTAACATCGTGTGGCCCACAAAAGGTGTGCTACGTTGTAATGGCTCCTTCCTACTCTAAATATTAGGGTAGAAGATGGGCTTCTCAGGAATGCTATCAGGCAAGGGAAGCGGCCAAGGATTGTGAGTGTGAGTGAGTGAGCGAGTGAGTCAATGACAGCGTGCACAGACCGACGCACCGTCCGCGTGCACAAAGGACATGCATTTGGCGTGCGCAGACGATCCCCTGCCCACCAGGGGACCAGAGGACCAGGGGACCAAGGGACCAGGGGACCAGAGGACTAGGCTACGGGTCACCAAACAATTTTTTGTTGATGCTATGTGTTTTATTGATGTGTATTTCTTTTTGTCGATACCTCTCCCTCCCATCCCGCTAAACGGTTCCGAGATGCTTTGCTGAGTCAAGAGCCCATCGGGTCCCAAGGTGGAAGTGAATGGTGCCTCCACCTGTCACAATATGGCACATAGTGGAACACCCAGTGGCGTGGCACAGAGTATGTTCCTATGTCACATACATTCATCAACTGACTTGAGCAGAAGTTTCTCAGAAAATGTGAGCATCGGCTTACTTGTCTATCTTTGTTTGTCCGTGCACGACTCTGTCGCTAATCACAGCCATTCATGAATATTCTCTTCACAACCCTTTGTCGGCGGCCTGATCGCGCAGAGTGGAATTGGCCTTACAAATGAAAAACCGAACGTGCTCGACTCACAACTGCTTGAACATGTCTGCCAGAAATATACTGGAGAGACAGCCCCTGATAGCTCTGGACATCCCTATCACCCTGCCTTAGGGATAGCAGTCTTGCCCCGGAGCAAGTCGAAGAAACTTGCTACACCTGGGCTCATCATGTCTTTGCTTCATTGAAGGACTTCTGGTGACTCATGACTTGTGGATTGCTTGTGCTTCGAGCGTTTATTGAAGCTCTAAAGCAAGTGCAGTTTGACAATCAAACGCATGAAAATGGCTTCGTCACAACTGGTTGGATCTTCTTTGGACTGCATCCACTGCCTTCCTATCCCATCCGGCGGCCCTGCACTTGAGCGCTGCATTTCGCCAAGGCACTGATGTGCTGGTCGCAGTCCTGCCACGTTAAATGAGTGAAGTGACATGTGATCACCTTTGATCTCAGTACCGAAATGGACACGTTTCCAATGTTGAAGTCACTCACTTGGTCTTTCCATTTTGTTTTAAAGAAACTGCCTGGAAACGCCGTGACTACTGTCGCACTGTCGAGGAAATGATCCTCATCCAAAATGTCCAAAAACAAGAGATATGTCTGTCATCTTTGCAATCCAACTTCCTGCCAAAAAACTTCAAACCTGATTGGACTCACAAAAACCAGCGCAGTGAATGAGTGGATTGAACAATCTCCTTCAGCAGAGCGTTGGCATCTTCAAATCCAATACCAGCCGTTGTCAAAACATCGACCCATCCTGAGGATTCTGTGAACACAGCGGCAAGCGTCGCCAGAAGTGTTTTTGCAAGCACAAGCAAGCAATCATGACGTTGGGTACTTGATTTCCCAACTTCAACATTTCACCTTCCTCGCTTTAGATTGGATGATAGAGTAGGTTGCGTCTTCCTTACACCATGACATGCCAAACCGGCACGCATTTCTACATGACTGCGACAACATTTGGTTCTTAAAAACCAAGCATCTCCTATCTCCTCCATGCGCATTCATTGCTTTCTTGGTTCTTCCCTATCAAACATCATATACAGAGAGAAGGGGGCAGGCAGGACCTTAGTCACTTCCGGTGGCCCATCCAAACAAACCGACCCAGTTGCCACGTCCGCTGCAGCCAGGATGCTCTGTCGCGTCAGACGCTCCTGCCCAAAGGTGGACCGGAACTTCGCTTCAACCTGACAGGATCGACCATTGTGTGACGCACGGTTAGCGTCTTCATTTCTTCATTTTCTACATACCTTCCATAGAACTCCCGCCCAACTCAGCAATTAATTATCTCGGCAACAACTTGGAACATGACGAATACTCTTTGTCAAAAGGATTGTTCTTTCGATTTGCTCTTCACCCAAGACGAAGACCGCTTTTGCTCGCCCTGGCTGGGTTTTTTCGTGAGCGTTACGGGTTCGCAGGGATTTTCATAATTTTCTGCGCGAAGACTGAAGATGGCAAAAAAAACCTTGAATTAAGGATTGACCAGGAGCAGAAAAGCTGAAAATCAGAAATTAGCCCGCTTGGATTCAAAAACCAGGGTAGGGAAACACGAAGCACGCGAACGCTGTGCAAAATACGCACCATGTGTCATCTTGCCGAATGACCTACCAGAAGGCTATGTACCCAACACGCGCCCGTAAGTTTCTCTGCAAACTAGGGTATGCCCCAGCCTTCACTAACCAAATGGACTTGCTGCTGACTTCTTCTCTCTTCCCCGAGTCCCACCAGGCAAGCTACACTGAGAAAATCGAGCGCAACCGCGAACTGACAAGCAACCAACTGGGTTGCTCAAGGCTTGTTTCGCGCAGCAGGGGCTGAACAGGCTGCGGGCAAACAATAAAGAAGGAAGGTGTGCGCCCAGCTTTTCAATTAATTCCGGCTTCAAGAACTCGCCGAAACACCAATCACCATCGCAGTTGCACACTGTGCCTGGATTGTCGCAGTTGGTGGTTGAATGTGGTTGATCTACCTTGGGGTTAATTAAGCAGTGGACCGTGACGCCGTGAGGTCCATGAGGGACACGATGTCCAAAAACTGAGGAATTGGAAGTCCGAAAAACATGCATAATAGTTGGAAATTCGTCGGAGTTCGCTGGGGGGCTTCGTCGCAGAAATCACCGGAGTCCGCCGGAGTTCGTTCGCAGGAGTTCGCCGGAGTTTACTGGAGTTCGTCGGAGTTCGCAGGAGTTCGTTCGCAGGAGTTCGTCGGAGTTCGCAGGAGTTCGTTCGCAGGAGTTCGTCGGAGCTCGCCGGAGCTCGCAGGAGTTCGTCGGAGTTCGCCGGAGTTCGCCGGAGTTCGCAGGAGTTCGCCGGAGTTCGCCGGAGTTCGTCGGAGTTCGCCGGAGCTCACAGGAGTTTTGCTAAATCTTCAAATTTGCACGAGATTTTTTCACATAATCTCCATTGAACGGAGAGTTTGGGCATACATCTCGAGCTGGCTTCAGGTGAAAACGCGCGCTGAAACTAATTCTCAGGGTTGAAAACCTGTAGGAATAACGTGCGAATTGGGACGTCCCAGCCCCATCGCCCTGAGTTCGCAAGGAGTTCGCAGGGGTTGGCAGGAGTTCGTAGGAGTTCGCAGGAGTTCGCAGGAATTTGCAGAAAATGCGTGAATTTGACCGACAAAACATCCGCTGCTGGAGTTCAACCAAATTTTCAATGCGCTGAATGAAAGTATGGCATCCCGACCCTGATGAGACCGAACCATGGCCGTCTTCTCACGCCGATTTCCCGGGGCCACACTGCCAAAGACAGAAGGTGTGCTGAGGTGGTGTGCTGATTTGGCTTGCCAGGGGAAACATATCACGGGGAACAAACAAAGAGTCAGCGGCATGGCTTGGCAAGGCATTTTGGGTGGGAGCAGGCTTCGCCCTAGCCCTGGATTGCAAAGATCCGGGCGACCATTGCTCAGGTATACATAGTAACGCCTTGCCACATATATTCAACGAAGCAACATGCTTCATCATGTTGCGCATGATTTCTTTACACAGCGTTCGCCTTCTTTGTGTTTCCCTCCTTGTCTTTTCTGATCTAAAAGTCCGTCAGGAACTGGGTATGCTTTATGAGGCCATCTCCCATTTTGTAAGGTACCTTGGAGGGTCTGAGTAGGCGCTCTATAAACGCTCGGTCTCAGTTTTTCGGTGCCTGGTCAAGTCTAGATCAAGGCTTTCAGGCCACTTGCCGAAATCAATGGAAATTTCTGAGAACCTGCAAGCTATAGGCAAGCAACCACCCAGCAGCAGTCTCGCACCATGATCAAGCTAAAATCCTGCAGAATATTACGGTACCTGTCTAGGGTCTCCCTATACATAGGTGTCGCCAAGCTTTTCACTGTTATTTTTGTTCTTGTTTGCAGGAATTTGTCCAATCTCAGGGCTGAATTCTTGAAACCAGTTTTGGCAATCATTGAAACAAGTCGGACGCCCATCTTCTCTTGTTTCTGTCCGCCCACAACTTGGTCAGCCCATTGTTACGGGAAATTAGCCGTGACACACCCGTCACGAAAAAACCCAGCCCTGGCCCTTAGTAGCCCTGCCGGATGGTGCTGGGCTGCCTCATCAGCTTCTTTCACCATGTCATGGGCATGATCATGTGAAAAACGTCTTCCAAACTTTGAAAACTGCTCAGATCTTTTCATGTGTTTCGAAACTCTTTAGCTCCTTACTGCTCTCTCAACCCACTTTTTGTCAAAGCAAAAAGGTTGACTTGGTTCAATAGTTCGTGGCACGGGCCTTGCCGAACTCAGCAAGGCCCTTCTGCTGGCTCAGACCTTGCCGGTGCTACAAATTCACGCGTGGAGCCACGCTCAGGTGAGCCCGCAATGAAACATACCAACGGCATGAACAACAAACGTTTAATAACGCACTTAAATGTCTTAAATATAGATTCCCAAGTCCGGAAATGGGCCAAGAGTCTTGAGGGGGGTACAACATATCAACCAAGCTACGCCAAAGCAGGCAAGCTCCAAGGCCGTTTGGCGTGTGGGGCAACTTGCGCCCGGAAAAATTCAAGCATGCAACAACCGCAGGATGCAAGTTAAGGATTGTTTCTCATGCTCAAAGCTCTGTATCTGATCCTTGAGCAGGGTTCCAAGATCCATCTACGAAGAAACTCCTTCGGTCTGGACGGTCAAGAACAGTTTCTGGAACCGATGTTGAAGCAGTGGGGCTGGAACCTTCGGCATGTCTATCGCAATCATTCTCAATATGTGTTTCCAAGCGCTCTAGACGTGCTGTCTGCAGTCCGGAATGTTTAAACAAGCGTGGACACAAGCTTGTTCGACGATGTATATAATAGCTATAATACTATACTGTAATGGCACCTTCCCTGAAAGAGGTACAATATCCGAACATGCAGGTATGGAGGCATGTTTCCACCTCCACCGGTTTTCCTCCAAGAATTCTGTTGAACAAATTCGGATTCCGAAAGATCTTTATCTCTCCGAAAGGATCTCCTCCCGTCCGGACCACTTCGCTCCATTTCAATCTCACTGGGCCCCCCCGAACGTCCTCGATGGTCGTCCTGGGCCAGGCCTTCGGCTTCCGCGCCTAAGCCTGTTGTTGCACCTGGCCTGTCACCCGGACCTTCTTGATGTGGCAATTCATCTCCTTCATCTTCTTCATCTAGTTGAAGATCAATGTACAAATCCGGCTTCGCTTTCTTCAACTTGCGTAAGGCTTGGAGGCCTCTGTGCCCGATGTCATTGTGCGCGAGCCTGAGTTTCTCTACTTTTTTGCAACGAAGCAAGCTTGACACAATGCCTTCGACATCTTCATCTTTGAGCCCGCAGGACTCCATCTGAAAGGAGCAAGCATTTGCTTTGGCAACTGCCACAGCTGCATTCCTTGGCAATAAGTTGCCATTCACCACAATCTCATCCAGGTCGACATAGAACGGCAAAGCGGCACAAAGAGTGTTGAGAGCCTCTTCATCCAAGTTTTCTGCCATCAGCTGCTTGGTGGTCCGCACTTTTTCTGCGAAGACCTGAGCTTGAAGCTTCAACACGGTCTCTTTGTCATCATGGTGGGTGAAACGGAGTCCCTGTTCCTCCATCCTGTGACGGAAGAGCTCCGGCGGCATGGGAACACAGGCTTCTAACGAGATCCGAAGCCGGGACCATTGGCGTTCAGCTTGGCACCACCCTCTCAGCAGATAAGGGGTGCTATTTGCTCTAAGCTGGTCAATGGAGACGGCAATGACTCCGCCTGCCTGATCCGAGAAAGCCATCACCGTTCCTGGATGTTTCCACATCTCCGGAGTGAGCTCGTCCAGAATTCGCACTTTGATGGCTTCATGGGCGTAGAGGGTGTGCATCTGTTCCAAAGCCTGCCTGAAGTAGCCCTCCTGTGGTGGTGTTCGGCCACCGTACTGATACAGGGACATGAAATCATAGAACAGCCAAACTGAACGAGTGGAGGTGACAGGAGGACACATCTGGATGATCTGGTCCAGTTGAAACCCATGCGGATCTGGATGCTCCATGCTCTCCCAAGCGTGAGAGATGGACTCTATCACCACAGTCACTCTATGTGGCGAGGGATCTTTGACACAAATGCTCATATTGCCAATTGGATCAATCTCCACCTTCTGCAGCTCTGACGCTTGAACAAGTGCCGGAAGGCCAGCTGCTGTAAATTCACCTTCTGCCTCTTGCCTACGAAGGAACCTTCGGCCTGCAGCAAGAAGCTCCTGCAAATATTCCAGTCGCACCAAAGCGATGTTTGCATCCAGGAGAAATTGGATGAGCTGCTTTGGGTCTTGCAAGTCGTACTTACCTGACAAATCAAGTCAAGCAGTGGAAGTCGCCCAGTTGAACCCTCTCAAACTGAACGAGTAGTCTACATGGGGGTGTTCACCTCACCAGTTGCACGGTTTGACATCCAGTCTTGACACACACACACACACAACAAACATCGCTTGTGCGCCTCGTGCGAAATACCACTTATCCGACTGTGCCAAGTGACAAGGCAGGACAAACTTGCTATATATATATATATACAGTATATCAATCTATATCAACCCATCACTCACAAACAATCCTGCCGTGCAAAGCTTCATGAACTCTTTGACCATCACCAAGAGTGTCACCCAAGAGTATGCTAGAAGAGTATCGCACAATCGTCTCACGCAAGACTGTCCAACAAAAGCGTCGGCAAAAGTGTTGTACCAAAGCGTCACTCAAGAGTGTCTCGAAGGGTTTCCGAGAAGAGTGTGGCACTTTCTGGAAAACGAGTGTCCAACAAAGGAATAGAGTGCTTGCAAATAGAGTCCGACACTCTTTGATGTGTACAACAAGAACACAATGTTCTTTCTGCTCTGTGGGTCCAAGGAATAGAGTCTTTGCTTGTCAGAGTCTTCGACCAGAAAGTCGACCTGCTCTGCGTGTCACGGACGTCTGAGATATGAACCCACGCTGCATGGCGCTGCCCAAACGTTGTTTTTGTAAACAAAAAATAACAAACGAAGCAAGTGTTGGAGAGAAGGTATTGATCAAACACAAACCATGGTCACTTCAACCAAGCTCGACCCTGCTCCATGTCCCGCCACCCACCAAGATGCTCTGTGGTGCATACTCCTGTCCAAAGGTTCGCTGAAAGGCGCACCGAACTCGGTGAAACAAATGACTTCCCTTCACGATATGCCCTGCTCAACTCAAAACAAGTCTGGCGAAACTCAAAACTGCGAGCATGGACTAGCAATGTCAAGTCACTGCTATGTTTGTCGATTGTTGGGGTATGTTGGGCTGCATCCACTTCCATCTGAGACTCTCCCAAAGACTGCCGTTGCTCAAGCTTGCCCCTGCTGAGCCCCCGTCCTCAACTTCTTCCACCATGTCCTGGAGGTGATTGATGTTCAACAAAATCCTCTGAACTCGCCTCGTCATGTCATTTCCAATGTCCTTGTGCTGCAAGTCACTGTTCTCTCAACAGCACGGACTCAAAACATGTCCATGCACGGACCGGCGCAGTCCCAAAACGACGGGCTACGCGCCGGTGCAGTCCTCTGACATCACCGCCCCAGGAGCCTAAATTCGTTTGGCATGTCTGGTCCCCTGTTGTTTCGCAGAATCCTTTCATATCCTTTTCCCATCTTGAATTTTTGAAGAATACCTATAGGACTGAAGAAAAACGTATACCTATAAGACTAAATCGATTAATTCCTCGCTTAGAAGCAGCCAAGCAAATGGAGAGTGATTCGCTGCAGGAATTTCTCACAACGGGACAAACGGCAGTTCTCAGCCATGGGGACGGACAGCAATATGAGGGCGCACATATAAAGTAATTTGAATGTTCCACTAATTCACTCTTTCACAACCAGATGGGAAGGAACTCTTTAAATGGTCTATTTATTGGAACCAGATTTTTCATTCTGTTTCTATCAACAGCTTCAGTTCCAACTGGTCTAGGAAAGGGATCGAAGCTCATAACAAACATGTCCCAACACATTGCAAAATTGGGTAGTGAAAAAAATGTATCAATTGCAATGTCCCAAAGTCATGTTAGCTGTTTTTTTACTCTTATCGTTTTCTCAGGCGGTGGGCTCTGAGCACTAGAAATCTGAATTGTCCAGCTTTCTGTGGGTGTGAAAGCAACCTTGGTCGAAAGTCAACATGACAGATGTCATCTGTTCCTTTCATTTCGCATTCGATTCCTTCCATGTTGCATTCATTTCCTTTCAATTTCCTTCAAACGGTGATATGCTCAAACCGGTCATGTGGGTATCCTCCCAAGCGAATGCATGTTTGTGATATTTTGTTATCGTTTTGTAGGCCTGTGCCGGTTGCTATCTTCAGGGTTCATGAACGTGTACATGCATAAGCTCGTTATCGTTTTTGACTCTTATCGTTTTCTGGGCCAGCAGTGCATTAGTGGTGTTAAGGCGCAGGCCAATACTAAACTGCTGAGCGCGGGGTTATTTCATCAGCCCACATTGACATGCATGCTTTCCCTTTTGATGATCTCGTCTTGTTCCGCCTGCACAGCGAGCGCACCATAGCAGCAACCAACCACAGAGTTTCGTGCCTTCACCGAGCATTGACACCGAGAATTTGTATCCTAATTACCCTAGGGCTCGAACCACCTCCTGAGAAGGTGGTTGGGGTAGGTTTGGGGGGTCTAACCACCTTCTGAGGATACAGTTGGAGCCCTAGGGCCTAATTACTTGTGATTGCACCAAATTCTAAAAATCCGCCGACCCCACACCGTGGGGTGAGGCGTGACTGTCGATGTTAGCCTTAGCCTTAAGCCTGAGCCTCAGCCTCAGCCTTAGATTATAGCCTTATCCTTAGACTTAGACTTATCCTTAGCCTTATCCTTAGCCTTAGATTAGCCTTAGACTTACACCTTACCTCCCCTACCCCTCCGGACCCTTGTTGCAGCGACGAAAGTGCGACGTGATTGCTACCAGTGCGACGTGATTGCTACCAAAGTGCGACGTGATTGTGCCCTGGATTGTCCAAGATTCTGCCATCCCAATTGATTTACATCTTGGGGCACCCTCTCTACCCGCGCGAGAAAATAAGCACGGTCCAAAATGGTCCCGGGCTCGAATCCCGGGCTGGTCGCGGCGTGGTCCCGGCCAATGCCCTTGCTTTTTGCTAGATTTTGTCACGTTTTCTGTTGGATTTGTGGGATTTTCAAAGGCTTTTTCAGCATTTTCCTAGGAATGCTGGATTTGTGGGATTTTCAAAGGCTTTTTCAGCATTTTCCTATGAATGCTCTAGGCTTTGTCTAGATTTTGTTACGTTTTCGGCTGGATGCTTTTCCAAGAATTTTCTAGCATTTCCTCTTGTTTTTAGGTTCCCAGATTTCCACAAAAAATTGTTAACCTTTTGCTAACCTATCTTATGCCAGTGTCCGGGCTGGTCGCGGCGTGGTCCCGGCCAATGCCCTTGCTTTTTCCTAGATTTTGTCACGTTTTCTGTTGGATTTGTGGGATTTTCAAAGGTTTTTCCAGCATTTTAGCATTTCCTCTTGTTTTAGGTTCCCAGATTTCCCCAAAAAATTGTTAACCTTTTGCTAACCTATTTTATGCCAGTGTCCGGGCTGGTCGCTCCGCCGACCCCACACCGTGGGGTGAGGCGTGACTGTCGATGTTGGCCTTAGCCTTAAGCCTGAGCCTTAGCCTTAGATTATAGCCTCATCCTTAGACTTAGACTTATCCTTAGCCTTATCCTTAGCCTTAGATTAGCCTTAGACTTACACCTTACCTCCCCTACCCCTCCGGACCCTTGTTGCAGTGACGAAAGTGCGACGTGATTGCTACCATAGTGCGACGTGATTGCTACCAAAGTGCGACGTGATTGTGCCCTGGATTGTCCAAGATTCTGCCATCCCAATTGATTTACATCTTGGGGCACCCTCTCTACCCGCGCGGGAAAATAAGCACGGTCCAAAATGGTCCCGGGCTCGAATCCCGGGCTGGTCGCGGCGTGGTCCCGGCCAATGCCCTTGCTTTTTCCTAGATTTTGTCACGTTTTCTGTTGGATTTGTGGTATTTTCAAAGGCTTTTCAGCATTTTCCTAGGAATGCTGGATTTGTGGGATTTTCAAAGGCTTTTTCAGCATTTTCCTAGGAATGCTCTAGGCTTTGTCTAGATTTTGTTACGTTTTCGGCTGGATGCTTTTCCAAGAATTTTCTAGCATTTCCTCTTGTTTTTAGGTTCCCAGATTTCCACAAAAAATTGTTAACCTTTTGCTAACCTATTTTATGCCAGTGTCCGGGCTGGTCGCGGCGTGGTCCCGGCCAATGCCCTTGCTTTTGCCTAGATTTTGTCATGTTTTCTGTTGGTTTTGTGGGATGTTCAAAGGTTTTTCCAGCATTTTAGCATTTCCTCTTGTTTTTAGGTTCCCAGATGTCCCAAAAAAATTGTTAACCTTTTGCTAACCTATTTTATGCCAGTGTCCGGGCTGGTCGCGGCGTGGTCCCGGCCAATGCCCTTGCTTTGTTCTAGATTTTGTCACGTTTTCTGTTGGATTTGTGGGATTTTCAAGGCTCTTACAGCATTTTCCTAGGAATGCTCTACGCTTTTCCTAGATTTTGTCACGTTTTCTGTTGGATTTGTGGGATTTTCAAAGGCTTTTCCAGCATTTTCCTAGATTTTGTTACGTTTTCGGCTGAATGCTTTTCCTAGCATTTCCTCTTGTTTTTAGGTTCCCAGATTTCCCCAAAAAATTGTTAACCTTTTGCTAACCTATTTTATGCCAGTGTCCGGGCTGGTCGCGGCGTGGTCCCGGCCAATGCCCTTGCTTTTTGCTAGATTTTGTCACGTTTTCTGTTGGATTTGTTGGCTACGGCTAAGGCTAAGGCTAAGGCTTAAGGCTCAGGCTAACATCGACAGTCACGCCTCACCTCAGGCTACTCCCTGGGACGACCCTGCCACTAGCTTTTCCCCTTAGGGGGTCGGCGGCTGCAGGCGGTAGCCTGGTAAATATGGCAAGGCAGGACACGTATTGTAAACAATGCTGGCAACGTTCACCAACCGCAGTCAAGCCACAACTATAGCACTTAGAAAGCCACCATAATCCACGTTGGCTTCGTTGAGAGTCAGCTCATCTCGCCTGACAAAAATAGCAGCAAGATCGAGATCCAAAAGAAAGTAGAGGCGGGCAGAACAATCACCATCCAACAATATGCTAAAAACTCGTTCAAAAAAGTTTCTTCTGACAGCCACACGAACCAAAACGGTTCTGACCAATGAGCAATGACTTTTGAAGAACACCAATGTCATCATAAGGGATATGTGTGTGCATTGACATGATGTACATGCATGTGACAAATAACATGTCAGCCGCGGTGCCAGCTGGGTTTATAACCTTAAGCAGCCATGAACATAACATGTAACTGTAAACGTCATGCAGGGCATTATCTCTCCTTTTTGCAAAACCAGTACACCTCCTTCTATCAGGTTTGCTCTCTGACAACAACGATCAACCTGACCCTCTCAATGCTACTTCCACATGCGACAAATGGAAATTCCTGTCGTTGTTTGCATGATGAACATGACGCTCAAAGTGAAGTGCACTCTCATGGATATGCAGGTATGCTGCCAGTGGGTTTGTGCAAGCAGCATTG